GAATGAAAATGTTTTTAGTTTTCGTTCATTTCATCTGAAATTAATTTTTAGTCTTTGCACATGTCTAATAATGTGTGTGTGGGTGGGAATTTTCACCTTTTTTAAAATAATTTTTTTAATGTTTTATAATTGTTTATTTTCATTTTTTTTTTTTTTATAACTTTTATTCAAAGGTATTAAACTTGTAGGTACAATATAAGTATTCTTATTAAATAAAACAACAGAAGGTAAACAAGTGGTAAACAATAAATGTCAAACTAAAACAGAGTCTATAAAAATAAAGTGTCAGGTTGTCATGCCGATCCCTTTATTCAAGTAACTGTAACTAGAAAAGTAAAAATAAAAAACAGAACACAAAACCTAGACTACATGTAAATTAATGAATTACTATTTGCCCGAATTTACGAAAAATGTATTCAGGCACATAATAATTTGTTTGAGAATGCGTGGCGACCATGTTGGCCACTGGTGCGTTCTGCGAATACGTGCCACCATCTTGGAGGCGGGGAGTATGACGTCACATGACGCCGTGCATGCGTGGCGTCAGGTGACGTCACTCGCCGATTTAGGCGCGCCATCTTGGTGTATATCTAGATATACACCAAGATGGCGGCACCAGTGGCTGAATCCAAAATAGCATAACAATTTGTGTTGTTTGGTGAAACGAATGAAAATGTTTTTAGTTTTCGTTCATTTCATCTGAAATTAATTTTTAGTCTTTGCACATGTCTAATAATGTGTGTGTGGGTGGGAATTTTCACCTTTTTTAAAATAATTTTTTTAATGTTTTATAATTGTTTATTTTCATTTTTTTTTTTTTTACTGTTGGGGGGTGCTTTAGGAAAATATTAGGTGTCTAAACAGACCCCTGACATTTACCTTTTAAAATAGAAAAAGAAATTGAGGACACAGAGACCTCAATTTCTTTTTCTGTAGCCTCAGCACTCAATGAATGGGAAGCACTCAGTACAGAGGCTTCCCATTCATTCAGACACTGATGATAGTAAAATATTTACTATTAAGCAGTTTATGAATGGGGAAAAGCCTCTGTACTGAGTGCTACTCCCCATGTAAATCACATCCTGTTCATTCATAACTGGGCACACATAGTAATATGTGACCCCAGTTATTTACAAACACTGGAGTGATCAGACGCTCACTACGGTGTTTGCTCTGCACAGAGGATCGTTAAATATCAATTATATTTACCGATCCTCCGCTCGGCCACGCACAGAGCCGCTGTCATCCTGAAACTGACAAGATGACAGCGGTTGCTCTCTTCACCGCTCAGCAGTCCTGAAAGCTGTGGCTTCTCTTCTCCCTCCCGCCCGGCCATCCTGAAAGCAGGCAGCGCTCCCTCCTGTATGATTAAACCTCAACACTGCACTCTGGCATGCTTATACTGTTTAATAGGGTATTAAAATAGATGCAACATTTCCCAAAAGCATGTAAGCTATCACGTGAGGTACCTATCATGTATTACAATTTAAAAAATATTTAATAATAGTGTAGTTTCCCTGTGGGCCTACCATGTCTCAGTATAAACCATGTTTTTAAAATAACTACAAGACCACAGTACCCCCTTCCCTCAGATTTTCACATGAAAATACCATATAATAACACAAATAAAGATTACAGGTTTACCTGTCACATGAAAAGCAGCAAAATAATTAGGCACACTTGGCTAAAGTCAGTGAACCTATAATAATATAGATTTCATTTTGCAAACTGGATACATGATGAAATGGATCGATCTAGACTTGGTTGGTAATTTGATTGTGTGGTACTGATGAGCTTCTTGCCCTGAGGCATCCCGCTGGTGTTTTGAGAGGGGCAACATATTTTGGGGTGTGAGGCTGCCACCTAAAGCACCCAGTGCCTTAGGCATAGAGGCTGGCATTAATAAAACAGGGGTTTGTATTCTTGCATGCCTCTTAAAATATAAAGTCTGCAGTGTATATTCCTCAGGATCATCTTGCTAGTCACAGATCCCTTTTACTTTATCTGTTTTTTTTAGGTGCCTTATAGGTAAATATTTAGTGTCCTTAGAACTTCTAAATTAGCCCAGCCACTTTAAATTAACCTTGAATGCCTAATGCAGTTCAGGTATAAGGCCCCGTTCACACTGAGCGATTTATCGCACGGCAATTCCCGCGATATCGCTCTCCAATGCTTGGCAATGGGGCAAAGGGTTCTGCTGTCGCGGGTCCCGCGTCGCTACAGCAGGACCCTTTTTGGAGCGGATTTTGCTGCGATTCTAGCTTGCCAATGCAAGCATTTGCGCGATATCGCACGACAAACGCGCAATTTGCGAATCGCGCAGTGTGAATGGGGCCTAAAAGTGTCTGAGTGTTTTTTTTGGTCCACATAAGACCTCTAAAGTGTGTAGTTCTGCCATAAAAAAGCAAAAGTCTAAAGAAGTTTGTATTAGGGTTATGCTGTAGAGTAATTGTGTGTAGTGGCATTAACATTTATGTAATCATATAACCAAATATGAACAAGTGACACTGCGCTAAAATAAATTAAAATAAAAAACTCCTTTGTGTTTGTTATCTTGATCTTGTATCAAGGAGATTGCATATAATACTGACCACTAGGCTAGATTGGAAACCATCACTAGGACTTGCTATTGGACATTTGTTTTGATCTGGTTTATATAGATACACATATATGCATTGATACTATTTAACTGAATGGGAAGGCTTAGTTTTCACATTTGTATAACTATCTTGCATTAGTGATTTTGGATCTAGGAGGAGGGATGCACACACATGCTAAACACTCAATGGATGAATGAAAAACAAAAACAAAGGAGTTTTTTTAAATTTAATTTATTTTAGCGCAGTGTCACTTGATTCACAATATTGGGAATAGTGTTTTCACTATTTTTTTTGGCACAGCCGCTTATTATACATTCACATAGCGCAGTGGTTTTATTATTATATAACTACATATACTGCATATACTGTAAATATGATTTTTTAAATGAAAATCACTATGGCAGAACAATGTAATTAAACACCACTGAATAATATTGATAATGATGTACATGTATCTAAACAAGTTCTGTGATAATGAGAGTGACCTCCAGTGACTCTCCTCTCTCCAGTGAACATAGGTTCACCTCTTGATGGACATAGACTAATATCTATTAGTAAGGTTTGAGATGCTTTTCCCCATATATTGGGGTCAAAAGGAAAAAACTGTGAGAATCTCTGAACTAGAGAATTATATTGCTTTTCTGCAAAAATATAGCTCCAGTCAGCATTTTAAGACTTAAAGGACTAGAAGTGTGTTACTGGGAAAATCACCAGGTGAAAATAAAAGGAAAATAAATTATAATGAATGCAACCAGCACATCTAAGGACAGAAATTAAGAGGACTAAGGAGCAAGGTGCAGTGTTAGGATAAGTCCATTGTAAGAGGTGACAAACCAAACAAAAAATTGAAATCTGCTCTACCTCCTCACTTCTAAATCCACGCCGGTGCTCGGCAAAAGGTATCTGCTCAGTCTTGGCATCCATAAATATGTTTTTTTAAAAACAGCGCTCGAAAAGGGGATCATCCCAATGTAATCTTTATTTCATAACGGCAAAAAAACAGCTCCCAAAACTGCTGACACATTTCAGTCCCTACAATGGGCCTAAAACATCCAAATATTGAATCTTAAATCCTAACCAACACCTCCAACATTAGGTCTCAGCACAAGCAATGTGTGCTCAACTTCTTAAAAACTAGAATGTTCAAATAATCACAATCTGGTACATAGCAAAAGACGTACTGGCATTAATGTGTTAATCCAGATGTGCCAGTACCTCTTTTTCTATGTACCAGATATATTATTTTTTTGGGTGATATATTCATCTTGTATTGGCTTCTTGCATATTAATATTCACTGGGCAGAAAAAGCACAGAACGTTCCTCTCCTTGAACTGTTTTTATTTATTTTTATTTTACTGACTACTAGTCCGCCTCTTTCTGAAATGCTGAAAAAGACTGGTAAGCTACTGAAGACAGAGTAGTTACCTTAAAAAATTAAGGTTACAATTAACTGCTGTTTTCTGTTGACAAGATGCTGGAGCATTAAAGTGTATCCAAAATCAAAACAATGTAAACAAAATTTGGATGGGGTAGGGAAGGGCTACAACCCCTGCCACGTTCTTAAAACTGTTAGTTTCCGTTTGGGAGATTCATCCACTATATTTGTCCTCTTGGCCATTGTCAGTGAGACACAAAGTGATGGGACATCTATTGTTTTGTAGCTGTCAGTACAAAAGGCGATAAGGTAAGGTCTACCAAAGCTGATACCCATTCGGGTGACAATTGTCGAAGGGCAGATTTCCCCTTACAAAGGCTTCCTACTGTATCACCAAGACAGGAAGTGAAGGGAAAATCCCTTCACTGTAGACACCATCCAAAACAAAACTTATTGGGTTTAGAGATATTCAAATCAGTTAACAGTATTTATGGATTCTGTTAATTAAATCTCAGGCCTGTTAACTAAATCTTAAGGCCTGTATATTACCATCAGCAGTCACTCTACCTGCTTTATCTTTATTTGCATTATGGAGAATGGGAACATCTATTTAGTTGCAGTAGAAATAAGACTTCAAGGTTGCTAGGAAAAAAGTCAGGAGCTAAGAACACACTGATAAAGTCCACAAGAAATATAAGAAGTTTGCAGGGTCCAAGCCCATAGAACTCCACCTCTAATGTAAATATTACTTTTGGTTGAACTGACTCCATTATCTAACAGAGAATTGATACATTCACCAGACTGACACACGAGAATCATGGGATAAAAAAACACTTATATAGTTTACATATGTTGCCGGCTCAGCACAATGGCTACAAAGCAGACATTGTTTCGAGTTATTTTTATCAATGGATACTTAGGAATGCTGAAGTGCATTTAGCTCTGAAAAGATGCATATTTTACATTCTGTCCACTTCAAGCTAAATATATACTACAGAACAGCTGAAGAAACAGGGCACATTACCTTGGGCTTTTCATCCAGAATCTGCTGACGAATCTCCTTGTGTTTTTCTATAAGCTTCTCTTGTCTTTTGCTCTGAGCATCTTCTAACTGGAAAAATAACAGAAAACAGTGAGTAAAACTTTGTCTAGTTCAAACTCTTATGAATGCAAATGTTGGGCTAAAACATTGGGCCAATATAATAGGCTACCATACCTTTCAGTGATTGTAACCTCTAACAAAGAACTTCTCTTATTTACTCCCTTTTTGGTCTTCTAAAAAAAACACTCAAATGGTATATTTATATCAGTTCGATAAGGGCAAAAAATAATACCTGATGATTCTGACAGAAATCCAGTGCTGTCCTGTATCCTGTACACACTGCAGTTTGCTTGGACTATTACTAGCACATCAGGAGTCTTCGGAACAGGATAGTTTCTTAAATTAAAGAAGACAATAGCAGAATTTCAGAGTAGCCCCAGTGACCTTGTCACTGTTGCCTGAGGAAGGGTCTGGCTTGTGCTCCGAAACATTGTTACTGTCTCATGTAACTGATTAAATTATCCTATTCAGAAGACTCATGATGTGCTGCTGATAATACAAGCGGTTATAGAATGGCAACACCAGCTGTCCAAGATCCCTACAGCACTCATTTCCCTGGGGCCTTTAAAATGTATGGAGTGCACCACATGCTTCAATTGTGGCTCTGTGTACCCTGCAGTCCTATCTCAAGCATTACCAACCCTGTCACCAATATGAGCTACAGAACACCTTTCCCCTATTTTATGATATAAGGAGAGGAGGAGGTATTCTGCAGTCTTAACACTTCTTGTCCTAGTGCTGCTACTCTATGGATACAGTACAGTAAGTGAGCATTGTCACCCTAGGCCAGAAAGCAAGTTACCTGCAAAAGGTGGTTATAAAGAAAAAAAAGCCTGACAAAAAGAAAACAAATGCAGCCAACTTTAAATGATACTAAACTCAAGGTAAATCTTAAAAATGCATTTAAGTACCTTACCTATTAACAAAATCTAGCTTATTTGTGTATCCCTCGGCTGGAGATCCTCAGATCATCTATGAGCATGTGCTGACACTGTGCTTCCCTTTTGAAAGGGTGGCTACTTTTGTCCCGCATGATCCATGTACGTGTTGTAAAGTAGCCACCACTCCAAGCTTGCTCCTGTGATGGACTACGATCTCATGATTAGTTTACTAATTTGTATTGAGATTGTACTTGTAGTCCATCACAAGAGGGAGCTTGGAGCGGTGGCTACTTTACAACACACACAGGGACCATGGGGAACAAAAGTAGCCACCCTCCAGAAGGAAGGACAGTGTCAGCACCAATTCAGAGATGATTTGAGGTTCACAGCTGAGAGATGATTTGAGGTTCACAGATTTGAGGTTCACACATTTGTGTTAATAGTTAATGTACCTGATTGCATTTTTAAGATGTAATTCCTAAGTTTAGTGTTACTTTAAATTAGGACTGGTAAGCTAAAATATATTTTATTTAATTTTTCTTCTTGAGTTTAGATATACATTAAATGAGATGATCGCAAGTACGATCTGCCTGTCCAAGATGGGCAGATCGTACGTTTTTTAAATTACTTTACAACCATCGCAAGACTAAGGTCTTGCGATGGTTGTAAAGTGTATGGCCACCTTAAAGCTATGTGTATGTGGATTTCTGAAGACTACCTAACTCAGATTGGCCTGCAAACCTGTTGCTTTAGCGGTTCCCTGAGTGCAACAAGCAGTGTCTCTAATGTTTACACCTGTTCTTGACTGGTTGTGTCCAGTGGAATAAATCTGAATACAACATATAAACACTGTAGTATTTGACAGTTGTTGATAAGACAGACCCCTCCATATCTTTTTTAAACTCTTTAGATAGTTTGCTGTATGTAAACCCCTGGTGCCTAACACATGGCCCTCCAGTGCTCATTGCATTGAGGTTGGGTTCAACCATCTTCGCCACTGGTAGGGCCAAATATGTAGGGATCTGCCAGGAATCTAAACCCAAAAAACAAAAAATGAATGTATGGTAGCTTACCCTCCATTGCATGTGTTTAGTTTATTGATTTGTCTCTGCAAGCTTTATTTTTCTTTATTTGTACTTAATGTCCTTGTCAGTAAAGACCCATTTGCCCTGGGATGTCACAAAGAGTTAATGTCCTGCATTTCAAGAAAACACTCATTTATGTAAGAAAACGGCTGCTTGTTCAATGTGTACACGCCATTCGCACCTAATGCACCTCTGTGAGTTCCTTGAGTGAGGTTCTGTTGAAGCAGTCTGTAGCTACTGGTGCCCCTTAAATTGAATTTTGCTTCTTTCTTTCCAGTTTAAGCACACAGCATGGTGGAGCTGAATAATGATAGTGTCATTATAATCTAGTTGCCTCAGTTGGCTGAACAAAATATTCCACCAGAAAATCAATATATTTGATTAATAAAACAAAAATCTTCATCAGAAGCCATATTTTATAGCATGGCCTGTTCTAGCTGCCAAGGTAGATTGTGTGCTACAGTGTCCAGCAAAGATTTAGGGTCAGATGTAGGGTTAGGAATAGTAATAGTGTTAGAGCTGTGTTTAGATCTGAGCCTACAGTTAGGGCTAGATTTAGGATTTTGGTAGGGCTATTGTTAGGGACTAGAAAATTTGAAGACATTATAATATTATACAAATCAAGAGTAATAGTTTACATTTCACTACACTTCACTACAAAATAAATACTATTAATACTATTTTATTAATATTGGTGAAGAAGCCTGAAAGTAAATTTGTCAACTTAAAGTGCCTACATTTTTATAATACACCTGCTCAATGAGAGACACCTGAGCTCAATTAACCCCTCCCCCTAACAAGAGCATCTCAATGATTTGATATGAATGAAGGTTACCTTGGCTAATGAATTTTGTCATCAAATGCTAAATTGGAATTGCCTTGATCTGTGACAAGTGGGGTTGATATATAACACTTCCTGCCACTAGATGGAGTGGAGAAGTGTATGGCTGGGCAGAAGTTTTATAAATAAACTCCTTAAAGTGTATGTAAACCCGAACAGATAACTTCTCTCATTTTCTTCCCCTTAGTCTGTTAACTATACAATTGAAAGCATTTTGTTATACTTGTTTGTGTAAGTTTTAACCAAAAAGCCAGCTGACTCTGTCAGAAATTCATAGCTGTTCTGTGTCCTGCTCTGTGTTATATCACACTCTCAGCGGAATATATCAAAACTGGAGCAGACAAAATCTGGAGCAGCTGTGGATGGCAACCAATCGGCTTCTCTCTTAAGTTTGTTCAGTTAAGATTTGAAAATGAGAGAGAGGTGCTGATTGGTTGCCGTGCACAATTGCTCCAGATTTTGATTGCTCCAGTTTTGATAAATTCCCCTCTCAATCTGTGTTATCTCAACCAGTGTAATAAGCCCTTCCAACTGGGCAGGGCTGACACCGTTTTTTGTGATTTCAGTCTAGAAAATACTGTGAATGAATGTCACTAGCACACCAAATATTCGTTCAGAATAACCAAGTGTTCATTTAATGAACACACATGTGGTTTTAAAGCGCTTTCCAGGCTGCGCAGGGTCCTCTTCATCAGGCTCAGTAATGACGAGTCTAGAAAAGGCACCTCAACAGGAAATTAGTGACTGCATTTCTGGCAGATTAATGGTATTTCTTTGTACTCACAGGGCCTATAACACCTTGTCTCTGGCCATATGCACATATGTGGCAGCATAGCAGTGGGCTTTGATGCTGTGCTGCCACATACATGTGTACAGCCAGTGCCCCTGCCTTGTGATGTGGATGTGCTTAATTGCACCCCCAACTCTTTGACCTCACTGCCACCAACATCTCCCAGCGACTGTTTATGATCACCAATCATAAACGGAAAGCCAATCACAGTGATCACATGACTGGACAGAACCCCTTAAAGGGCTGGCAATTGCCAGCAGAAAGGGATTAAAGGGATAAAACCTGGGGAAATGCATTGAGAATGTAGTGTATATATTGTTTTTTTTTCACCACAACATATACTTGAACTGAAATTTAGATTTACCTGGAGGGTGCTACTCAGGCTTGCTTCTAGTTGTGCTGCTGCCCTGAATATCTAAATCTCATTTTTATGACCTAGACTTCAGCATTCTGCCCATGACTTAATTTCCTATATTCTACATACAATGGCGCATTACTGCAAGCTCTAAAATGTTTGTGCTATGGCATTATACTATGCTTTAAATGTGAAGTTACAGCCCTTCAACCGCAGCCAGTTTCCTTAGAGCAAACTGTTCTGGTTGGACATACAGATATGTTTTGGGGTGGTATTCCCTGTAATTAGAGTAATGAAAAATATAAATTGGCTTCACGTACATGTTTTTCACTTATCAAGCAGTGTAATTAAAAAATGCTAATTCACTCAAAATGATTTAGTTCAGTGTACAGAGCCTTAATGCTATAAGAAATGTAACTTCCAGAAATAATTATTTAGTTAATCTCTCCAATGAAGCGCTTGCCAACTGATATTCTGCTATGTTACCTACTTGTTACCCTAGGCCTCATGATGAAGTGTGTGAAAATAAAGTGGATTGCCCAGAGCATCCAAAACAACTGTTGCTTTTTGACTGTCTAATACATGCTTATATGGACGCTTCCTTTAAAGCATATCTAAACCCAAAACCCAAAAATGTATATGATGCAGCTTGCCAGCCCCTGGATGTGGTGGCTGCATTGGTTTTCTTTTTTTAGGCTTTTTATTTTATTTTACCTGATGGTCCTGTGAATAACATCATAACCCCAACTGTCCTGATTATAGTGGGACTGTCCTGGGATTTCAACCAAATACTGGGGTCCCACCTCATGTCCGGGTTCCATGTCAAAGCCTTGGCAGGGCAGTATGGCTTCCACTATGTGGAATATGTGCTTCTTACACCTCTGTTTTAAAAACTTAGGGTTCAATTTAGAAACAATTCTTAGGGCCATTCACTGTTTTTTTGCAGTTCGACTGTATTGTGATGTAATATTTTGGCCACTAGATGGACAGAGGACCAGAGGAAAAAATACTTCTCAGATTTTAAGTATGGTTCTGTTGTTTACAAACCATGAAACCACACTTCCACTAACCTATTTCTATTATATATCATTGTGTGGCTTGTTTTAACACTTTGTATATACTGTATATTTGTATATAGGACAGCAAAACATGTCACAGAGGAAACGTGGACAAACTGAACTAAAGTTAGACCCATAAGCAGTGACCATGGTACACTGAGTGCAAACCATAATCCTATTCTCTTTATAATTCATTATTACACTGGAAAAATCTATATGAACATACATAACAAAAGCATGGGTGTGCCAATATCTATCTATACTGTATATCATGAATGAGTCTCTTGTTTGACTTGAGTTGTACTCTGTCTTCAGGCAGGATTACAGAAAAGCTTACGCTTTGTGAATATTTTTAGATTTTTAGTTTCATAAGATGAACAGACAATATAGGGCATATATAGTTTGCATGGGGTATGCATTGCATTCTGTTACAAGACTAAGTACAAGATGGAAATTGCTATCTACAAAATAGCTTTATTGTTTAAGTCAAACACGAGGAAAATAACATGCTGTTTTCACATTTGTAATTCCTAAAACATACAGATTTCTATATAGAGACTCTCCAGCTACATTTTAAAACACATCCAATATTAACTTTTAAAAAAACAACCTGGAGGATTTTTTTTTATGCAGTGCTGCAAAGTAAAGTAATCCTTATTGACGGACCTTGCAGCCTGATGCTAAGTCCCTGGGAAACCAGTTTCCCTTCATGATGTCATAGCCACAATTGTGGCTCAAAATGTGTATTCATATGTGCCTGTTGTGCAATTTGATTGGTTAATATGTAGCATGTGCCTCAGTATCGGAACTGGGGGTAACATATTGTTGGTAGATGACCAATTAACACGAGCAGCAGGGGCATGCAAGCTTTGATTGGTCTGGGTGGCAATGACCTCCATCAGGCTGGCAGGCTGTCTTGGACTGGTGGTCAGGCAACAAAGTCTTTTATTACCAGCCAGGCCCTCCGAGGCTGAATTAAGTGTTAAAGTTCAAGCTGCTCTTTTTTTGTGAAATCTTTATGTGAAGCTTATATTAACTATTAAATAGAACACGTGGACATTTTGTATCAATACAAATCAAAAAATACACACATTTTTAATGCCTGGCACTGCTTCCTAACTATACAACTGAAGTGTCTGTCTTCTCCATGTTGCCCTTGCTGGCATCTTCAATGACCGGGATAGCCCAACAGAGACAGAGATAGCCCAACCAGAAATCCCAGTACTGTTCAGCAGTTGTTGATACAACTAACTAAATGATGGTGTCTGACTTGGCTAATATATTCCCCATAATAAATATCAATATTGGGTGACGTAGGCTCTAAAGCTAACAGGTCACAAACCTGGGTAATTTTAATTCAGTATTTACAAGATTAAAGAATCATAAATGAAGCTCAGGATGTAGGAGGGGCAGGGCAAAACATTTTCTAATTTAATGGTTATTTTAGCATGACGCTTTCACTGAAGGTAACCTCTGCTTTGGATTGTTTTATCCTATGCTCAGTTTGGATTGTGCAGATTAATAATAGGTTTACTATAGTGAACAAAAAACGGATGCTTTCAAGTGACACTTTATAGTGAATCTATGGTTTCTACATATAGTGCAAAGCAATAGGTTCACTTACTAGCCTGTTAACCGCCCAACTTGCTACTTTAACTTTCTTTTACTTTTCTCCCCGCCACCCTGTTCACCCAATAAAATGCAGGAAAATACAATCTCCTTCCCCTTACAGGAAAGTATATAACTCTCTACCCTTCCTTCCATGGTGCAGCACAGGCTGACTGGATGGCCAATCACCTGGCTTGATTAAGGGGTTAAATGGAAGGTAAGAACCTGTTGTATGGGAAAAATACTGTATGGCCAAAATTATTTTTTTCTGCCTTATTTACCAATGTGAAACCCTACACCCATGATCCCAGGGACTTAACCACAGATATGAAATATGGTTTATGCTTCTACAGACATACTTCCTGTTTGTTGCTGTAGATTGAATTTTTACCCTACAAATTACTTATTTTCTTCTGCAAACACAATGATGTTTCCACTACCTAATCTATTACAGTCATTATTCCTCTGAAACATAGATGCAGCAATCAGAAAATAATAAAATGAGTCTACCCAGCAAGGACCAGTAACCACATATTCACCATTAAAAGGAACACATGGATATTCAATACACAAACAATGAAATCAGAGACGCACCCTTTTAATGTACTGCACTACTTCCTGGATATACGATCGGATCATCTCTGTCTTCTCCCTGTGGAGAAAATATAAAGGTCACCACTAAATGTAGCAATATATTTAAAGTAATGCAATAAAACAGTAAATAAACAGTACTCCATTCCCAATGACAAAGGAAACTAAAATGGCTGTGGGCCCATTTTATTGTAATGTTTTAAAATTTGTATGTTTTAAATATATTTATTTGCTCCCCATTCAAGGCTGCAATCACAGCATTTGGCAGAGATAAGTCTTCCAGCACCAACTTCCTTCGTAGTTCAGAAATGTCATGTATTGTGAAGGTATGTCACAATAATCCATATCCTTTAGGAACACCCAACTGTCACCATGGCCACCAGTCATTGCAGCACTATGGCGCACTATGCATGGTACACTTTCTTAAAACTCACAGAGACTTGCCCCTAACATGAAGGGGCTAGTTGGTTTTGTTTGCATCCCAGGCCGAAGGTTCCCAGATCTCCCCTGTATCTACCTAAATATTCTGCAACTCGAACGCAAGGCCTGTATAGAGATCCCTTCACACAAATTCATAAACATTTTTGGCTGCTGGGCTTGCAAACCTGAAAAAATTTAGACTTTTGTATTTTATGTGCCAGGGATGAACCTGGCCTGCAAAGAAATGAAATGGCATTCAGAGACCTTTTGTAGAAAGACCTTTGTAAGCCTGACAACAGTTAAAATGTTTCCTGGTTAGTATTAGTTCAAAGATTTACCTGGAGTGGCAGGGCTGCCAGGATTGGCACATAACCATCTACACATAACGCACTCCTCATCCATGTAGTATTAACAGAGAACAATTCTATAAGTAAAAGACCTATACTTACTCTTCCATTTGATTTTTGTCTTTTGATTTTGTTTCTGTGACTTTTTCTTGTCGTTTCTTGTCCATCTTCTTTTTTAATTCTTTCTTTTCTCTGAAAGAGAAGACAAGTGGAGATTGATGAAGAAAGATGAAACATTATCTATGATCCCACTGATCATGAGATAGATTATAAGCCTGATGCTTACTTCTCACATGTTTCTTTGAGTTTTTTTAGTTGGTTGTTCTGGCACTCCTCTGCCACATCTGTGAGTTTCTGGATGAGCTGGAATAGAGACCTGAGATATTAGTGGTCAGAGGTGGTAAGTAGGACACCATAACTATCTGTTATTGGGACACAAATGTTGTTTGATAGACAATATATTCTATTAGAACCTATCTCTTCTGGGGACATGAGATCAGACATAGACATACTGTCTACGCAGTAGACATGTGCGATTCGTTTCGTTACGAATCGAAGTTCGTACGAATTTTCCAGAAATTCCGAATTTCAGTTTCCGAATTATATCCGAAATACGAAATTCCGTTAACGAATTTCGGATCCGAATTTCTTTGAAACAGGAACTATGCTGCATGGGATACTATCAAGAGAGACACATGGGAAGACACAGGTGGTCATCATCATGGAGGCCCATGGTGTTGAATACTAATGAACCTCTGTACCAGCAAGTACCTGTGTCAGTCTATAAATCAATCTTTATTTTCACGTAGACATCACATCTTAGCACTAATAAGCTGCAATATATTACATAATTGTTATTGGGTTTAGATATCCTTTAGGTTAAGATTAAAGGAAACTTCTACTAAGTAAAAAATAGAATCTACTTTTGCAGAACGGAAAATGCTTAGATGTCATGGTGATTCAGTAGTTTAAATAGTTTCTGTGGCACCAGAACAGGTATGCAGATCAGGAGTTTTGACTTTCTAATTTGCATGCGTGTTTGCAGTGCTGAAGCCAGGGAACTTTGACCTTCAAAAGCATGTTATAAATGCCAGCTCCTATTTAGCTTTCATGGTATGTTCATTTTAAAGCCAAACCCCTGGTAAAAGGTTGAATTCAAAGCTGTAATACATATACATGATTTGTTTTTCCTGCCAAAGAATGTGTATTCCTGTCCTTCTGTTCTTAAGATTTACACAGCAATGCCATAAAGCACAACCAGATGTATTACCTGACGTTTTATCTAGCACAGTTATGCAATACAGTTACTTCCCTGTGATTGGACATTGAAGGAACAGCAGCAGACTGACTCTTCCTACCTGCATGTTCCTTGTCAGCACATGCATGCACTAGAAATGAATGGCTCCTATGGCTGCCCTTCTCTTTCCCTGTGTGAGTTTTGTCATAAAAAGGGTTACAAAAACTGATACCAAGTCAAAATCAGGTACCTCAGGTGCATTTAAAAATAAATGTAATCATTTTAATGACTACATTACCCTGGTTTTTATCTGCCTGAAGTTCAGGTTGAATTCCCTTTGCAAGTCCTGATTTCCATACTTGTTCTGGGTCATTAGCTCAGAAAGCAATTAAAGCCATTGGATCGGCATGGCACCCAGGCAAATATCATGTTAAGGAAAAGGCAAAGTAAAGACAGCCTACTTATATATCTCAGATTTTACGGGTCTCCCGGAATACCTTCCTTGTCGTGTTTTCTCTGAGCAGATTATTCTAGCGATACAGAAGTCCAATATAAAAAAGTTTCACGTATCACACAAACAGGAATTCTCTGACTGTGCGTAGAATTATAACAAGGTGATAAAAAGCCCACAGCTGAAAAGCATGCAAACCATAATTATGTATTGTTATTTGTCGGAGAAAAATCTTTCCAGTTCCGAACAATGAACAATTCATAAATGAAATACCTATTAAAAGAACAGTTGGCTCATTCATGTGTAAAGTAGATTTAAGTCTGAACAAATATTAATTTAAATGGAGCCCAGGGGGATACTTTAATTGTACCTTACTCCGAGTACAATGCAGAATCGTAGAGGATAATTAAACCATCCAAGAATGTAAATTGGCTTAAACACTTAAATGAATTGCTTAATGTGTGGAGTAGTTTTGAGGTAAAAATTTAGAGGCTCCTAACCAGTGGGTGGCATCAAGTAGAGTGGCATGTTTGGTATGCAAATACTTCACAAAGCTGATCTATGGGTGGCTGAAACAGTCCAATAATGGTAAGCAATATGACAGATTGAAGACAACAACAACCCCATGTTGACTACCTGTCAGATGTCCTCATTGAATGCATAGATTTTCCACCATCTTGACAATATTTTCCTTTTCTCCATAGAAAAAGGAACTAGATTTTTACTATTTATTATTATTATTATTATTCAGAATTTAAATAGCGCCAACCAGGGCTCAAAATTTCAGGTCCTGAGCTACTAGCCAGGCCTTCAAAGTTACTCGCCACCAGTTGCCCTGCATAACACAAACAAACACACACAGGGCACAACGCGCACACAGCACAGCACACATACAGCCACAGCACAACGCACAAGGCATTACACATACAGCCACAGCACAACGCACAGAGCATTACACATACACATTTCATCTGAAATTAATTTTTAGTGTTCTCACATGTCTAATAATATGCGTGTGGGGGGGAGCAGTTTTCACTTTTTTAAAATATTTTTTTACATGGAAGCACTCAGTACAGAGTCTTCCCATTCATTCATACACTGATAGTAAAATATTTACTATCAGCTGTTTCTGAATGGTGAGGAGCCTCTGTACTGAGTGTTTCTCCCCATTGAGAAATTCATGAATGAACAGGCTGTGATGTGAATCACAGCCTGTTCATTCATAACTGGGGACACATAATACTATGTGCCCCCAGTTATTTACAAACACTGGAGTGATCAGATGATCGCTCCGATGTTTGTCCTTCTCACATGGAGGATCGGTAGATATCAATGATATTTACCGATCCCCCGCTCTGCCACGCACAGAGCCGCTGTCATCCTGAAACTGACAGGATGACAGCGGCCCCGATCTCCTACCTGCTCGGCCATCCTGACAGCTGCGGGCGCGGCTTCTCTCCCCCTCACCGCTCCGCCATCCTGACAGCAGGCAGCGCTCCCTCCTGCGCCCCCCTGCTTAGACGGACGGACGAGGGAGCGCTGTCATCAGGTCGGTGAACAGGAGAGAAGCCGCCCCGAGGAGGCTTCATTTCCACTCGCCCCCACGCAATTTTCACTCGCAAATTGCGAGGGGGCGAGTGGAAATTTTGAGCCCTGGCGCCAACAGTTTGCGCAGCGCTTTACAATATAAGGAAGACATTACAATACAATTCAAGACAAGATAGTAAGGAGGGCCCTGCCACTGGGGGCTTACAATCTAAAAGGGAGGGACAAGTGATACACGAGGAGGTAGCTGTGTGGGGATGAATTGTTTGAGAACGTGATGGTTGCAGCCTTGATTGCCAGTTGTTGAAGTGTTTAGCTGAGCTTGCGTCAGAGATGTTATTGAGTCAGAAGAAAAATGTTCTGGCAGCAAGAAATGTATGCAAGGATGTACAGATCTTTCAGTGCTGCAATAGGTCGGATATATGGCTTTGGATAGTTACCTTTGCTTTGGCATCAACCAGTGGTGGCAAAGCCTCAAAAGATCAAATCCTATTTGACCCATAACTCTGAGACACTGAGCATAAACCCCTGTCCTCATTAATAACAAAAGCATCATTACTATGTGCTTAACAGTCAGAAAAATTCCAACTCTACATTATTAGTTTTATTCTGCATCACATGAGATTCCATTGCCATCCATTGTCATTGGTTAGTAATTCTGACAATGTTTTAATTACTACCTATGCCTTTCTGTCCCAGTGACAACCCTCCATTTCTTGTATGAATGTCACAGGGACAGGAAGTGAGGGAAAATCTCCTCAATGTGGTACTCCATCAAAAACACAAAAGACTTTGATATAGATACATTTTAAAAACTGTACAGACAGGAACAAGCTACCATTTCTGACCTTCTTCTGAGAATGCTAGTTACCTAGAAGTCTCTGGATGCAATACTTTCTGAGTCACTGACCCCAAACCTGATCAGAGTGGTCAGGACTCCTTATCTGCATACTTGTTCTGCGTCAGTGACTCCAAAATCATTGAAGCAAAAAGGTCAGCATGACAGCCAGACAACTAGCACTTTTAGAAGAGGTTAGCAATGGTAGCCTACAGGTTTCCCTTAACATACAAATGAAAAATAAAAATATTTATGTCGCTGATGGTAAAGCCACTAACCTGTTTGATATGCTCTCTTTTCTGGTATTTCTCGCTGTAATACTGTTCTTGCCGGAGATTGAGAAGCTGCTGTTGCTGTTGTTCCTTCAGCTCTACTAATTTCTGTGCCATTTCTGCATCTAATGCGGCTAAATCTTGTTCAACAGAGGAAGAATTATGATCCGGACTCCCTGATTCACACCTGTAAGTATAAGTAAAGAGTTAGCACAGCCAACATGCTGTATACTCTATGTTCCCAAACACTATGTATTTCTACTCCCATGTACTTCACATTCCACAAAGATGTATTATTGGATGGACAGCCATTCCGAAGGTGCCCTAACTGTGGGCTGGTAACCAGCCTGGGATCCTAGTATCCTAGCATAGTAACTTTGCATTCTCAGGGCCGAAATACACTGTTTTAGGAAACTTTTAATTTGTGTTCCCAGAAAAATAGCAGTCTGACTTACCAAGCTATCCAAGGTTGTATAACCACTTATGAATGTATCGCCATTAAAAATAATTCACCATTGCCTACAAATACCCAAATTAATCAGATCAAAGATAAAAATTAGAGTTAGCTGTTCAGTGCAGACCTTGGCGCTACATTTTTTTTTTTTTTTTGCATTCATCAGATTGCTCCGATTACAAATTAGAGTGCTCTGCATATACTTCCTAAAGACATTAGATTACAGTCTTCCGATCTGGCACTTTTCATTTGATGATCTAATGTCTATGGAGTATACTAGTGAGCAAAGCAAGGGGGAAAAAAACAATTGGAAATTTTGTCTGACCACTTTTGTTGTCCCTTCAATAAGCCAGAGCTACAATTGCCTGCAGCTCTCCCTCTGCTACTGTTCTTTATAGACCAGATACTGTATGTGCAAAAGCACAATGTGACCATTTGTGTTTGGGGAACCGTTGGATGGCATAAGTACCAAAGAGCTGTCAGATTCTGTGTGAACACCTGACCAGGCACTGCCTGTTATGACCTGATTCCTTATGTCCATTTTTGGCCAATGAAAACTCAAAATGCCATAACCAAATATGCCATTACCTATATACCCTTATACTAAACCCAAGTGCGCTTGTTTGTTTTGTAATCTGACCATTCTCAGAACAAAGTTGGACTGGGACCCTCAGGCAACTTTTCTACATCTCTCCTATCCATAGTCCTTTGTGATTGTACAGATCTAAATCTTAATATAATGTAAATACTGTAGGTTTGATGGACCGGTGTCCACAAACATTGGACCATATAAGTACAAAATCACTTACTTTGGAAAATAAGGAGCTGTCTACAACTGCTCTGTTGTTAAAATGTCACGGTTTAACACACCATAGCCTATGTGTCCTGGTGGTCATACACTGTCTGCTGACAATACCCAGTGACAGCAGAAGAGCTTGCACAGTGCCAGATGCAATCATAGAATGACTAATGGAGTATGACAGATAACAAGAGTACCAGTTGCTGGCATTAGGGACAGGCAGAGTAGGTGTCTGTCATGAGCCCAGTCGTCTCAGGGATGTAATTAAAACAAGTTCCATGATTTCATAAATCTAAATGGGAATATGCTCCACGTACATCTTTAACTTCGTGGATAATGTAAGTGAGAAAGTACACTTGTTTGAAAAGGAATTTATGTACAAAAGGACTTTATTTACAAAATATCTGATCTGAATACATAATGAATATTTTACAAATATAGTTATGAATTGCAATTACGTTTTTAAATATGTAGTTATTATTTAAAGATTTGTTTTGGTTAAACATGAAAAGATTTAATTTAAATGAATCCAGAAAGGAACCTAAATGTTAAGTGGAAAAAGGGTCACCAGAGGCCCATTCTTCCTGCCTGTAGAGTGTTGCCACCTGAGTCAAAGTCTTTACTGAGCAAATGATTTAATACACACAGATTGAAGCTATCACTTCATGTGAAACACAACAGTCTGCTGCTTCTCCTCTGGCCACTTTCACATGGGCACTCCGATCAGACCCGTCTGCCACTTTTCAGGCCGATCTGGTTGGAAGCCCAATGTAACTCTATGGACAGTCAGATGTAAACAGAGAAAACCCCCAACTCTGTCTAGGTCCGCCATAAAAATGGAACAGAGTTCTGTTTTGACAGACCTGATCGTGACATAGCAGAGGTAACTGGATGTAAAGGGGCACATGTCCATTTACATCCAACTGTCCATAGACCTAAAAAGGGCCCTTGCAAGATGGAGGAAAAAGCTGAACAGACACGAAAATCACAAGAGTGACATCTGTTCCGTTCTACTCTGATCAGCAGGGGATCCATGTATGGATTCCCTGCTGATTGGAACAGACAGAGCCCATGTGAAAGAGGCCTTACTGTCCAAGAGCACGTCGATGACCAAGTTTTATTGCTTAACTGCAGTAGCAAAAAGTCACATCACCAAATTGTAGGTGCTATCTTGCATGACTGCACATTTCAGAACTAGATGTATAGAAATAAAAATCAGCTCCTGTAAGAACCACATACAGTATTTAGATGTTTGTCTGGAGCTTAGCCTAAATCACTTTGCTGGTTGATTTCACTTGCCTGGAGTTGCTCTTCTAGCTGGACAGAAATATACTCTGGAACTAATTAACATGCCTAATATGTGCCAGGTAAAAGTGCAGACAACTGTGTTGAGCCATAAGTACAGCACATTGTGAGCAACTTTGATCTTGCTCACTCGGGTGGCCTGATGTGTCCCTATCAGTGAGATCGTCATTACCTCTAATAACAGCAACAACCTCAGCATCTTTAGAATCCACTGAACCCAGATCACTGCGAAAGAAGACTGTTATATTTTCATTACAGGTCTCATAAGACATCCAATTTCATATTATTCAATGTCAGCAAAAATATTTATTTTTCTTCCTTTCAATCTGAGGAGTGACAATAACACCAACACGAGAGCCTGTAAGCCTTCATTTACTGTAAAATTCAGCAAAGTGCTGATTGCTACATTGTAGCTCATGTCATTTTCTGCTAGAAGAAACATTTCTGATATCCATTGATAAGCTTCTCATTTGTATGCAGCTGCCACAGAAAGATCCAGCCACAAACAAATTGCTTTTCCACTGTGTTGCGAGAGCCGGCCTCACTTCCAAAATACAGTGAATTTTTAACTGCTACAACAATGACCCTCTTCAGACTTCCAATCTGCAAAAGGAATATCTCACCGTGGATAAAAGAGATGAAGAATACAGTGTTATTTTCAGGAATTTAAAGGGTTAGTCCGCTAACAACTCTTATTTCAGTTCTAGGTATATTTCAGTGTCAGGATTGCAATGATTGCCTTGCATTTGTCTGGTAAGCTCAGTCTTTCTGAGACTAAGTAAAAGGAGTGAGACTTTACAGCCAGAGGAAAGAGGGAGAAGGGAACTCCAGGACAGAAGCAGGGAACAAATCGTGTTTTGTAATACCAAGAATGCAGCTTAATGCCGTCCAAATATGCTCCTCCAATGTTGCGGGGATTGAAGGATTTGGTCTTTTTTCTCTCCATGTGGGTGGTTTCTTGCTGGCTGGCCTACATCAAGCTTCAGTTTTCTTTAGGATTAATATCACCTGAGGAAGCCTTATTTAGGCGAAACATGTTTGGGTATCCAAAGAAAAACTCCACTTGCTCAACTAATCATCAATAATTAGACCACTGCAACATATTGTGTCATCATCTGTATCATGGGTTTTAATGTAACAAGTCTTGTAACTGTGACAACACACTCTGTTTTTAATTATTTTTTTGTGAATAATAAATTGTTTTCTTACATAAGCTATTGTGAGAACAAAATTGTTTCCAAAAAGACCCCCACTTTCAGGCTCTGGCATACCTGGATATGGTTTTGTCATTTCAAGATATATTTACACTTGCATTAACAAAAGCACATTAATATGTGTTGTGTGCTAATGTGTAATATAACACATTGTAGAATTAACTACCCAGGCACCACAACAAAACCAAAATTGGACAGTACCCGTTTTTACTACCGCAGCACATCAGTTTTTTTTGGTACACTATGGTAGTCTTTTTGGAAACTGAGGTATAAATAAGTATGAATGGACCCTGGGGGCGGAGTGCATTGTGGTTCTATTCCTTTTATTTCACACAAAGGCAGCTGTACCCGAAAACCAACCACACACCAAGTGTACTTTTTATAGACCAGCAGAGACAGGAAGACATTGTAACAGCAGAATCACAGACATAAAAAAACTTGACAGAGGTTTTAATCCCCCCTACTCTATACAAATATCAACAATGTTTGGCTGGAGTTCTACTTTAAAGACCTTTATTGTTGGCAAATGCTTACTATATGTTTGCTGCTGTCTAATACCTTTTCTTCATTGCAGCTGGCACCCGTCTGTGCCCGCACCTTGATTTGAACCGAGGACTATGGTAAATGTTATTTAGGCTGGTTGCAAAACAATCTCTGGTGTGTTATTCAACACCCAAACACCAACGCAACTGTCATCTACGCACCAGGTATATCCCAAACTCCCCCAACTAGTATCCTTCCAAAGAATGGAGGCACTTACAGTAAGTCGTTATCAAGAGACAGAGGCATTTGAATTTAGAACATGGGTGCATACTGCAAAGTCGACATTTATACCCTGCAGCACCCTAGGTTTGGCAGCATTAAAAAATTGGGGGCACATTCACACTTTAGTGTAGTGAAGAGGTACAGGACAATTTTAACATCCTACTGGTACTGAACTGCACCATCTGCCTGCTCACATTGTAACACAGGGAACCTTTGTAGCAAACGGGTCACACAAAGAATCATCCCCAAACCCATAAAATCACAATAATTAGTTCTCTTTGCCCACTTTCATTTTATATTATTTGGAGTCAGTAGTACTCATGCAGGGTCTGTGCCTGCCTGTCACCATTTACAGCCATTGCATGCTGAAGAGGGGAAGGAGGAGCTGCACACATCTCTGATCATTTTTTTTTCCACAGGTTAAAACTGATGGGGACAATTTAAAGGAAACCTATACTGTGGAAGACTGGAGACTGAAATTGCTACGCTCTGCTTTAGAAAATTCAAATTTCCTGGCCATCATGCTAACCCAATGTCTTCAATACCGTCTGGATTACTGATTTGGAGCAATTACGCAGATAAGGACTTCTGACTTTGACATTCCTGATTTCCATGCTTGCTTTTCAGGACAGCAACTCAGCAACTGTGTTGAAGTTAGAATTAGCTAGGCAATTACCATTTTCTGTATTCTCAACGCATAGACAAGCAATTTGCCCTATGTCCTATTGCCTTAGTTCATACCACCATGCTGCTGCGGTGTACGCTGAAAAAAAGGAAGACGTAAATCATGCTGCGTACTTAAGCAGCGCAGTGTGTTGCTTTACACTACACTATATTGCAACACACTGTAGCGAATAAAGATGAATGAAATGTAATTTTGTGACATTTGAATAAAGTTGTAAAAAAAGATATAAAAAATCAAGCATTGCAATGTGTCAGTACAATGTTTCACACCACTCCTTCAAATTTAAAATATCTTGGATGGACATAGAAAGGACTAAGCAAAGTTACAGATCTGTATAGAAAAATACATTCTAGGATTGCACAACAGCATGGCTGAAGGTCCAGAAACTGTGCCTAGTGAGATTACATAGTATGTTTACATATCTGCTTTGTAAAGAATTACATGGCAGAAGAACGTCAGATGATCTCCTAGTTCAAGAAAAGCACTAAGAGTAAATAAGCTGGTCAATAAAAAATGACCTTTGTCTTGGTTTAGCATTGTGAAGCACAAAAACTGATATTTCATAGTCTCTGGCCTATAAAAAAAAAACACACACCTAGTCACAAGCTACCCTGTGTAAATGATATTATCATGTAGAACAGAGGTGATCATTCTTCAATGGAAATCTTTGCAGAACTCCTGATCTACATAGTTGTTTCAGGTCAGGGTCTAATCAAGTACTGAAACATCTAGATCCGGATGACAACCAGGCAATTACCACTTATCGGAGAGGGTCAGGAATGGTTTATTCTGCATTTGTCTCAGTGGAGAAAAGAAAATGAACATCTTACCTAATAATACCAGGACCATAACAACTGGCTGTGGCACTAAATCAGAGGAACAGATACAGGTTCAAATATCTGACCTAGGCACGTTTGGCCCAACAACAGATATTCCCTTATGTTACTTATTACAACTCTTCATCTTCATCCTGGGTACTTGAAGCGTATAATAAAAATAAATGTTCTTCCCGGAAATTAAATAGTCCATCTCTTGTGTCTACCACTGCACTTATTGGGTTCTCTCTGTCCTGTAGTGACTTAGAGGTTGAAAGGATGGACTAATGAGTACAGTGAGATACCAGAAGTCTCGGTTTCTCAGCAGACTTCAGAAGGTTTCTCTTAAAGGGAGCATCATTCAGCAGCATGGGCAGCGAGGTAAGTATTTTGTTGTTTCTTTTGTAGGGACAGCTTTTAGCCAGCTTCATTTTACAGGCAGGCTCATTTTAAACACAGAAGTATGAATAGAGGCTTGCTTATGGGTGAAGGATATTTTAAAGATAAAGGGTTACACATTTGCATTGTTTAATTCTACTGCTAGCTAACCATGATTTGATTTAACTAGATCTAGATCTACAGGCTTTGCTATAGTCAAGTATAGAATGAGCACTTACCAAACAGGATGGATTTTGATTTTCATAGGCATAGATGATAAAGGTCACCACAGCCTCACATTATTCATAAGCTAAAAAAAAATTGAATTATCCCCTTGAAGTTTGTGAACCATCATATAGAATTAGCTGTGACAAATATAGTGCCAGCAGGGGCAGTCTGGGACTCTGGGGCCCACAGGTTGAAGGGGAACAGGATGTCCCTTGGAAAGTGCATATTGGTGAAAATAGGGCGTGGCATATATGCTTTCTCTGTATTCTATATTTATCTTTGAAACACTAGTTTTGCTCTGGTCCAATTATATCATTATTCGTAGCCATTCTTAGTATGGGATATATGATTCGTACATTGCACACCCTATACAATGCCTATTCAGAAGGCAGAAATACAACATCTAATTATAAACAGTTCTGTTCAAATTCACAAAAACATTAAAGTTTGTCAAAAACTGGAAAAATGTGCAAACAGTCTATCCACTGCATAGGAGATATGTATCCGATGTAGAGGAAACAGAGCAATATAAGTAATTTAAGTAGAATCCAAGCACACTGTAGCAGCAGCAAACACCTTAGCAACTCGTGAATAATAGGAATCAAGTTCTAAACATGTATCATAAACAAAATCCAACTGAACTATACAGATAATAGTTTGCAAGTTGTGAAGAAATATTTCACCACACCCAGTGTCACAGACCAACAGCTCAAAAATGAAGAATACGATAGATGGAAGATAGACTTCCATGAGGTATCTAACCATATATAGTCTATTCCAAATGTAAAAACGTATACATAGGAGTGCTACAAAGAGTTATTAGCTTATTCTTCATTTTTGAGCTGTTACTCTGTGACATTACAATATATTATAATAAATACTGGTTTTATTATTATAATACTTTTTATTTGTTTGTGTGTTGTTGGTGATCAGTTTCAATGAATCCATCACAAAGAACCTTCAAGACAATCCCCCTTTTTTCTGATTACACCTAGGTGAGGTGAGGCCTTGAATTATTTCTAGGGTCCACTGGTGCCATAGGATCTATTTACATGTCCTTATAAATATAATTTACTTACTTCTTTTTGCTGTCCCTTTTGGCAGCCTTCTCCAGTATGGCCCTCCTCCTCAAGTAATCATTCTGGATTTCATTGTACTTAGTGGTATGTTCTTTGATCAGGTCAGTTGTTTTCTTATGGTGTTTTTTTACGAGATCTTTCATTTCTTTATAATGCTTCTTTTGAAGCTTAACAAACGACTTCTGTTGCTTCAGTTCATCAATACTCTGAGCTTCTACCTCTGTAATAAACATTGACAGAGCCAGCTTTAGTAAACATACAAAGAACAAAAAAAAAAAGTCAAATATTTAATCATAGATGATACTTCTCCGAAGAATAGTGATCCAGATCCAGCTGCTCCATCAATTCTGCTGTGCAGTGTAGTTGTACTACTTGTTTATTACTAGGGATGCACCGCTACCGGTATTTCAGTATCGAGTACCGATATTTTTTTTCCGGTACTCGCCGATACCGAATACCGATACCGAAAGTCCCATTAAGGAAGCCAGGCAGCATGTAATGACTCGCCACCTGGCTTCCTGATTAGCCGGGAAGCCGGGCGGCATGTAAAGACTCGCCACCCGGCTTCCCGATTAGCAGGGAAGCCATCCCCATGCTTCTCGTCACTATGGGACGAGAAAGCATGGAGCTGGCTTTCTAGCCAATCAGGAAGCCGTGCGCCGTGTAATGCTCCCTCTGGAAGCCCGCTCCATGCTCCCTCATCATGAGGTGACGGGGCAACAGGAAGCCGACTTCCCGGTCAATTAGAAAGTTGGGCGCCGCAACATTACACAGCGCCCGGTTACCCAATTGGCCAGCTTCCCGACCAATCAGGAAGACGGGCAGTGAGTCATTACACGCTGCCCGGCTTCCTGATACAGGAAATATCGGGCTAGGCATCAGAGCATTTTGGGCGAGTATAAGTACTTGCCCAAATACTCGGCATCGGCACCGATACTAGTATCGGTATCGGTGCATCCCTATGTATTACCTTTCACCATTTTAAATAGTGGAAAGAGCAATTTTAAAGACAAACTGTAATTGTCTTAACATTTTCATATATGCAACTTTAAACAGATTAATGTAAAATACCCTCATCAATGTTTGCTAAAGTTAATAAAATAATTTTTTAGACATAGTTTACAATGGAACATTTAACCTCTTGCCGTCCGCCCGTAGACGGACGGCACTGCTGCATCTGCAAGTTGCCGTCTCCAGACGGCAATTTTTTTCTGCTCGCACGCGCCCCCTAGTTCAGCCATAATTGCTTACTGACTGTGTTTTATTTCAGTAAAATGTTGTGGCTGCGTGCTCTTAGGGATTCATTCAAAGCAATACAGTCCTTAAGAGGCTTAAGGTGAGTCTGTGCTTTGCCCATGCAGGGCAAACCAACAGGTTCCCTTGAATATGGCCCCTACAACTTTGTATACCTACCTTCCCTTTACTCCCATGCTGGTTCATTTGCCCGTGGGTACATAGGAGATTTCTTGTGTAGGCTCCAAGCTGCTTTGGTTGGAGCTTACACAGGCTAAAGTCTCTCTCCCTACTCTCAAAGGAATGCACTCATACCTGGCGATTGGCTGCTAAGGCACAATGAACTGCATCAAGGGAGGAAAGCAAGAGAGAGTAACAGGCCCCATATAATAAGTACAGGGTATTTTTAAGTGGCTAGATGACTTGGTGGGAGAGGGAAGGGAAAATTAGTACATGTGGTTTGTGGCATTTAATTGAACCTGTTGCTTTGTCGTGCATTGCTAAAGCACAGGCTCACTTTAAATAACAACAAAGATAATTTCAGATAAACTGTACAAGGATAGAGAAAATTAAATTGTGTACTCAATAAAACAGCAGATAGATAACATGATGCAGATGATCCATTTACAGGAGAAAATTGACGCCGTGCATACATTATGGTTACCTTTATTGTTTTCTAACTAAACTATTTATTACCTCAATTTCTTCAATCCCCATCCTCTACAGAAAATATTACCTGTCACATCAACATTAATACCAATTGAAGCACACAAGCACATAGACACATACTATAGATAGATAGATAGATAGATAGATAGATAGATAGATAGATAGATAGATAGATATTTACCTGTTAAAACACTCATTATGAGGTCTTCTGCAGGTGCTGCTTTAGCAGGTATTTTAACAGAACCTAAAAAGGAGAAAAATAATGTACTTTGACTTTATCATCCAACAGGACTGAGTAAATTAGTAGTATCTACATAACATTCTAAAGTTATGCAAAATATTTATGTAGAGGTATTTTTATTGTCTCTTATCCGAGTTCTGTGGCTTCCCCTCAGTAATGTCACCACATAGAATGAGGCCCAGAGGGCACCACTGGTCCTGCATTGTAGCCCACCCATATACCAGGACTAGATTGGAAGCAAGGAAAATCAACAGCTGCTGAGAGAGTAATGAACAAGGTAAGTATTTCTCTGCATTACAATCTCCTAACTAAATGAGCAGTATTTTATAAATATAGTTCAGCTTTAAAGTATAAGAATTTATACTACAATTTATACAACAGTATTCTGGATAATTTCAGTCAGGTTTTTAAGTAAACCTGTACAGAGAAAATATGTAGTCATGGACTTCTTCTTCTGAAAGTCCAAAATATCTGGCTGTCATGCTGATCCAATGGCTTTCATGCTTTCTAAGGCACTGCTATGGAACAGGTATTCAGATCTGGAGTTCTAAATGTACTCTGCCTTTCTAATATGCATATTTCTACTTGGTCAGTGACACAAAAAGTATTGAATCAAAAGACACTCTGGACACTAGTATTCTCAGAAGGAGTTCAGTAATGGCAGCCAGAGAAAGGAAAAAATCATATCTCGGACAGTTGTGACAGGAACAGGTGTCACCATTGGAAGATTTTCCCTCACCTCCTTTTGGATTTTTCATCACTTTCTGCCTCGGGGGCCGCTGTAGAGATGGTGAATCTCTCCAGCAAGGACACACAGTAGTAGGTCCCCTTACTTCTCTCAGTATTGGTTTCCTTTAGAAATAAAACTGCTTACCTGGTACAGGCTGACTGTGAACATTCTGAGATGATGTCTTAGGCGTTAATGTGGAAGCATGATTCAAGCCATTTTCTGCTGGGGCCGGCCTTGGCTCACTGTTGGCTTCCAGTGGAACATCTCTAGCTTCTATCTGAAAACCAGACAGTAATGTTTAAGTAACTCATTAAGGAGCAATAATTTTTCATCCATGGCAAAATGCCGAAAGTGCCATCTTTCGGAGGAAATTGCAGTGCATACCTATTTTCTCTCCTCCCCACTGGGCCCTGCTCTGTGTCCCCTCTGACCCAGCGTCCAACGGGGAGGAGAGATACTGTCAGGGGAGGCCGAGCGTCGCGGGGGAGGAGAGCACTGTGAACACCCGGTGTATCACAGGAGGCCGGCTTTCCTCCCGCACTGCCCCTCTCATCCTCTTCTGACTGATCAGGAGAGCAGTGTGGGGGCAGAGGTGGCCGAGCCCCAGGTGCGGGGGAGGAGTCAGCTGTCAAAATAAACTGAGCTCTCCTTCCTACACTGCCAGCTCAGCTGTGACAGCGAGTCAGGATGAAGAGCGGTAAAAGCAGTTAGTGATCAGGTGATCGTGGACTGTTTGTAAATAACTAGACATAGTATGAGTTACTATGTACCAGTTATGAATGAATGGGAAGTGATCTACATCACTTCCTGTTCATTCATAATTGTGTACATAGTAGGCATACTATCTCCACATGTATGAATGAACAGGAACACTCAGTATAGAGGACTCCTGTTCATTTATAACATGGGCTGCAGAAAAAGAGATTGAGGACTCTGTGTCCTCAATTTCTTTGCCTATTTTAAAAGGGAAATATCAGAGGTCTGTTTAGACCTCTGATATTGTATTGAAGCCCCCACAGTAAAGTAAAAAAAATAATGTTTTAATAAAAATAAATAAATAAAAAATAAAAATAAAATATAAAATAAATAAAACATTTATAAAGATTAAATATAAATAACATATTTTTTAAAAATGTAAAAAAGGTTAGAAAAAAAATTATTGTTTCTGCCTGAATTTTTTAATTTTCTATTTCAGGTAAAAATTTTAATTTCGGTGAACCTCTAGTTGCTAGTTCTAAATCCTCCCTGGCAAAATTATACGTGGGCTGAGTGATATTGAAAATACTCTTCAATCACACTTATCACAACATACAACTAGCAAACTCCCTTATTTTCAACCACTGGCTATTCTTTTAGTAGATTACCTGGCCCTTTGCTGTCCTTGTCCATAAATGCCCCTCTTTTGCCCTGTCCATATTAGTGTGTTGGTAGCCTGTTCATAATACATGGGCTGCCTTAATGCAAACACATTAAAGTGAATGTATTACCGCACCACAGAGATGTGAATCCGGCTTCAAAATGTGCATCAAAACAAAAAAGAGGTGTTTAAAGATTTACAGTTCATTTTCTTTAGAAGACATCCACAGCCTGAGTAGAAAAGTCTGTATTCTGCCAGCGTGCTACAGAGCTCTTTACTGCATAGCAAAAATGTGCTATACAGTACCGGAATTGTACTGCATATTACTGCTTCAACAATGAGTTAAGGTACACCACTATAGCAGCATGTATCTCCACTGTAAAATCTAGATAGCTTCTTTGAGATATATATATATATATATATATAT